TACAACAAAACATGGTTCAGAAATGGGTCAGCTGGCCTGGCTAAAAATGTGTGCTAAACAATAAGCAAAGTTAGCCCCTTTCATACTAAAGGATTTTTTTTAAGCTGTTAAAAGAGCATTTCATTGGGCGTTAGCAGCCAAAATGATGTACAATATTTACAAATTTAAGAGTAAGAGAAAGTGGACTTTGACTCAGTACACTAACAATACTGAATGTGTGTTTGGATTTTTTAAAGTTTTCAGGTTTCATATCTTGTATGGCACATCAATGTAATTTCAGTTAAAATAGTCAGGGTTTTTTGCGGGGAGGGGAAATACGTATACTACCTGAAGTACCAGAAGGTCTAAGAATACATACATAAGATGAATTCTTTGGAATACAAAGGTTATTTATATTGGAGGCTGACTTTTTTTGCTCGGTGAGATTTTTCCAAAATCCACCTATTATTTTACCACTAATGTTCACAAAATTTGTGCCAGAGTTGGGTGTGGCTCCTACCACTCAGAGCATCAGTTGAGGGAAGGGGGAGAGGCACACTTCAGCAACACAAGCCATTCACTTATTTCCTCAAAACTAGATTTTTGTCTTGAAATAGAGAAGTATCTAATAGTCTCTTACTAGTCCAAATTAAAACAATCAAAATGAAAACTTATATGTTATATAAATAGTGGACCAAATCCTTTACTGTCCCTTATTCAGGGCTGTATTATGCCATCAGTTTTTAAGTACATTTCATCATTAATTTCAATGGGAAAGACTACTTAAAAATCATTGGTATAATATAGCTCATACTACTCAGTTCTGAGTCCTCCTGAAGTCAGTGGGAATTTGAGTAAAGGCTAATATAAAAACAGAGGAACTGCCCTCACCCGTGACAAAACAAAGAGAAAAGGCATAGCAGATAGAAAAATATATGATGTTTCCAACAGATTGTTTTTGGGAGTTTAGTCCCACCATGGAGCAGACCGGGAATCCAGTGGAAGATAGGGTCAACTTTATGACAGTCCCTAATCTCAACTGCCTTTCTGAAAAGAGAATAGATACAAAGGGTGGTTATCTGCTAGTGTCTCTCCAGCTACTGCTACAAAAAATTAGCAAGTCTTACCACCATCTCTAAGTTATAGCTGAATATGATGCACAGAGAATTAAACTCTACTGTTAGAAATATGGGCCCAAATTCATCTCTGAATATGGCCACCTTGGTTAACTGGTGCCATAAAAATTACACTGGCTGGTAGTTAGGAAATATTGACAGCCTTTTGAAATAACTGTTCTTTTTATTCTTTCCCGTTGAGACTGATATTTCAGTAAGAAAACAAAACAAAGCTGAAGCACCTTAGTTTTTTGTAGTTAAAATATAACAAGATTTTTAAAAAATGAAAGATTACAAAATGAAATAGATGCATATATATTAATGTCAAATATAACCAGGCCTGGCTAAATCAATAAAGTGGGTTTATATTTTTATGGCAGTAGCAGTTATTGGGTTTATTCTGTTTTGAACAGCCTTTACAATCAGTTTGATGCAATACCCTAGGGGTGTGATTATCTCATAATATACCTACTCCTGCTTCTACCTTTCTGCTTAATTACATTTCATGAAGCTTTGTTCCTTATGTAAATTAGTAATTTTGTACAAAACATAATAACAAGGCAGCTTTCGCATATGGAACTACAGCTTCATCTGTTTACATAATATTTATCTTTAGTGGTCCTCTACTCAGTTAAAAATATTCCCTGGCTTCTACCAGGTGGAAGCTTGCATACTGTTGCAAAAACAGTCTCTTCAACAGGTAGTTTATTCAGCAAGAAAAAGCACTGGTGAATTTTACAAGTTTGTTTCTTAGATATGCAAAATGTGCTTTATAAGTGCTAATTATTAGGCATTTTGCACGAAAAGATGAGCCAAACCCTTCAAAGTCCAAAATATGCAATTTACCAAACAAGAAAAGAACAAAATAACATAAAATTAAAGTTTGTAACAAAACTGCAAAATGCTGTTTATCTCTGGAAAGGACATACTAATGTTGTTTGCCCTCTTCTCCTCCTCCAGAGTTTTTTTTTTAAACTCTAATCTACATGTGCTAATTATAGGGAATATAAATTCTGGAAACAAAATTAAGAGGATATATTGACAGTATGTGGGCTGTAAATGGAACCTGATCTATTTTCAGCATGATTTTAAAATAACCCTGTAGTTGCATGCAAATTGTGATATAAATTCATGAAATATTTTTATTACAGTAGCATCTAAGGGTTCAAATCAAAATCAGGGTCCCATTGTGCTAGATACTGTACAAACATATGTAATAGACTAGGTTCCTACAACTGAATGTTCCAGTCCTACAAATTATTCCATGTGGGTAAATCCCTGCAGTCATCTATCTGGGCATAAGGTTTGCTCACATGGTGCACCTGCCAAGACTAGCCCTAATTTGAAAAAAGATGCAACAAATGACCATGACAAAGTAAGGAAGTGGAGAGATAATGAAAATAATATCAAATAGTAACATAGTTCTTGCACAACTTGGTGGTTCCAACTCACCTGAAAGACTTTTTTTTAAATACATAAAAGTCTGCAGCACTTTCTAGTCATCATTTCATGTCAGCAATTAGGACATATATGGGTAACTTTCTAATCTATCTAGGTTTTTATACCATCACTGTAATATCTGAGTGCCTTCCAGTACTGCATTAAGCTACATGATTGCAAATCTGTCACGTTGTTTGTTCTCTTATCCTCTCCCCAGAGGGAGAAGTGTGTGGAGTAGAATGTCCTTTTTTTTTTTTTAATACACCTGTTTCTATGTGTTTATATTAGAGGTCAAAGAAATGTGCTTTGCACATGGAGCAGAAAGTGATGCAGTTTATGATAGTCCTTAATTCCCAGGGAAGAAGGTTGTTTCCCACAGAAAAGCTTTACTCTTATTACTAAGGTTAAGATTTTGTCATAGTTATTTTTAGTAAAAGTCATGGACAGGTCACAGGCAATAAACAAAAATTCATGGAAGCCCACAACCTGTCTATGACTTTTACTAAAAATAACAGGGGAGGGACTGCCGCCCGGGGGACCGGACTGAAGCCCGAGCCCTGCAGGGGGGATAGGACTGACAGCCTGAGCCCCACCACCCGCAGGGGACTCCAGCCCCCGCTGCAGCCACTAACAGCTCCAGCCCTGCCATTGCGATGGGGGCCGAAGCCAAAGAAGTCATGGAGGTTCGTTAGTTATGGAATCCCTGACCTCTGTGCCTAAATCATATCCTTACTTATTACCGTTCTTTTGTGCCAGAGGAACAAAGTTTTCAACTGTCTGCATCTCACAGCTTTAAATAACCTTTGAGGCATCCTGGGCCCAGGCCACAGAGTGCTTTGAAGATAAGGACTGAGACCTTAAAGTTGATTCCAAATTCTATGGGAAGCCTATGTAGAGAGTGGAGGACAGGTGTGATATGCTTATGGTAGCCTGTGTTGCTGAAAAGATGCGCTGCAGCATTTTGTGCTAGTCGTAGTTGTGCAAGTTTGAGTTTTCTAAGTGCTAAAGGTTTCATGCTCACATCTACTGCATTATGGTAGTCCAGCTGAGAAGTGACAGCATGAATAACTGAGGCCAGATCCTTGTCCGCCAGGATGAGATGGCGTCTCCTAGCTAACTGGAGATGGTAGAAAGTGTTACTTGTGGCTGTTGCAACATGAGAGCTCAGCTTCAGCAAATCCACGAATACACGTGACCATGGACTAAACTGAGCAATTGTGGATGTGAAAACTTCAATCACAAGAGACTGCACCATGGCTGCAGACTCCTCAAAATACTTTCCTCTGATGACCAACATCACTTCCTTCAGTACTATTAAGCTGGATTCAAATCAAGGTGAAAGTCACTGTGCTCCACTAGGAGAGGAAGGCTCCTCCAGTAGTTAGGGCACTAGCCTGGGCCTTAAGTTGGGAGACAGGGTTCAATTCTCTGCTCTCCCATATGCTCCCCGAGTGACTTTGCATGAGTCACTTAAACCCAGATCTTAAAAGGTATTTAGGTACCAAAATGCCTCAGTGGATCTGGGCCTCAGATCCCCATGTGGAGCGAGTGAGAGTGTGTGTTTGGGAGAAGAGGTAATGGTAATTACCCCTTCCTACCCACACGGGTGGTCTGAGGATAAATACATTGGGAGCCTCCTGCAGCAACGGGAAATCATACATAAGCTGAGGGGCGAGTGGCGGCAGCTGTGACCACGGCGGGTCTGAGTTACACAGCGGCTACCCCCGGGCTGTTTGCTGCAATCTCTCTCGGCAGGGAACAGGGCAGTCCTGTTTTCCCGCCCCTGGCGATCCCCCGACGCCGGCTCCTGGCCCGTTGTTTGTGTCACGCCATTGATGATCTGGCGCGTCCCAGGCCGAGGCCCGACTACAGCCAGCCCCGGGCAGCATCAGCGAACGGCCTAGCCCAGCCCGTCACTCGGCGGTTAGTGCCCGGGGGGCAGCGCCCCGGCCCCTAGGCGAGAGGCTAGGAAACGCCCCCCCCCCATCTCGGCCGCTCAGGCTCAGCCAGCCCCGCACCCGCAGCAGCCTGGGCGGGGAGGGGGAATAACACTCGGCAGCTCCCCATCACCCCGCTGGTTGGCTTAGGTCACGTGCCTCCTCCCCACCAATAGTTGCGCACTCGCGGACATGGAGTCGCCCCGCGCCACTGACTGTTCCCCTAAAGGTTGCCCCGCCCCCAACGCGCGGAGAGACTAGAGCGAGGACTAGCGTGCGAGAGTGCGTGTGCGAGATCTCGCGGTAACTGCCCGCCGCTATTTAAACTCCCAGGAGGCCAGAGCTCGGTCTCTGTCCTCTCTTCCCTCCCTGGTGGGTGAGGTGGTTCCTCGGTCCTGCCTCCCTGGCTGCGGCGGGCCGCGTGGGCAGCAGGGACTGTGCGGCCTGACTCCTCCATGGGGAGCTGGGCCCACGCAGGGTGTGGGGCGGCGGGGAGGGTGGCAGAGCGCTCCTCGCCCGGGGTGGGGGGGTCGCTGCGCCGGCGGCTCTCGCGCCTCTCCCGCTGTGCCCTTCTGCTGCGCCCCGGATCGCCGGTAGATGCGGGAGCCGGGTGAGGCTGGCCCCGCGGGTGGCCGCTCCGGGAGCATGTCCGACGTGGCGGCAGAAATAAGGAGCTTTGTGCAGGTAGAGACGGGTCCGCGCGCCTGAGGGGCTGACGGGTGGCACGGCCGTTACCTAGAGGGCTCCGCTCCGGTGCGGCCTGTACCTGCGCGCGCCTCTGATCGCTCATCGGGGGGGGGGGTTAACGGCCCTGCTTGGCAGCGCAGGTCCGCTGTCTTCTCTTCGTCAGCACTGGCGATATTAACGTAACAAACTAAAAATCTTCATAACCTGATCTAGCCCCGCACTTGGCTCCTTGAACTATTCATTTAACACGTTGCGGAGCTAACTGCTTTGGCAAAGTATTTGGCATTTTAATGAAGTCTAGTCCTGTCTCTCTTGATACATAAATGACTCAACGTGCGTTAAATTACTATGTTGTAAATACTCGAAAATCATGGGGGGAGGGGAAGCAACTTGCACAATTAATGTTTATTTAGCAAATGGCATTTTTCTCCATGTGGACCATGAAAATTGAGTAACCCGTTTCATTTACTGGTTCTTGTCCATTTGCCCAAAAGCTGTGTCTTAAACATCACACTGCAGAGAAATTCTTAGGCACAGCTCGCTATTCCAACTTTTTTAAAAGTTGGAAACATTTCTACTAGATTTTTTTACTCGTTTAAAATCGTGTCACGTTTAATAGTGTTGTTTCTTGTGTGTAACTATTGCCATGTGCTTTAATCTTTACACTGCTTGAGTACCTCATGTATACTGTTACAATATGTATCTAAGATTCCAGTGAAAAGTTACTATGTTTTTTAAAGGTGAACTTTCACTTTAGATATTAAATAGCCATATTAAGTGACATAAATACAAAATATCATTTTTGCTTATTTTATTAGTATTTTTTAATCTATTGCAGAAACATGGCTTTTTATATTTAGATATATATTTTTAACTTACTAGGGCCGACCATGGACCATGCTGCCAGTTTAGGAAAGCAAATATTTATTTCCCTAAACTTGAACCATTGGCTTTTTTGCTTTAGAATCTGACTTGATTATTAATAGTTGGATTGTATACAAGGGATTTTATAGAATAAAACCCCAAATTATGGCCCTTTGATCTCACCAATTTAAGTGATCTTATGTTGCTTGTCTATTGAAAATGTTGAATTTTAAGTATTTTTTTTAAACATCGCATAGTAACATGTCCTTTAAAATATTGTGCAGATAAATGGTCACACCTGACTGAAATGCTCATGAAGACACCTCTTAAGAATGAAGTGCCTCTGCTGGAAAGTAAGCAGTTCTAATTGAATGAAAGTTAGTAGTTTGCCTTGATTCCAACTTTATGGTAGTTGGATGATAAATTAGAGGAATTTTTATGAATTACCTACAAATCACTAAATTACAGTGAGTTTGAGAATAAAATGTTAAAGGAATTTTGTGATCAGTAATATTTTCCCCTTTTTTGCTTTGCCCTCTTAAGGCAGACTGTGCTTTAAGTGGCCAACACAGAGGGGTATAGTAATTCTCTCTCAAACCCAGAGGTGAGATTAAAACTCTTCTCTGGATCCTGTCGGGAGGAACAAACTCATGAGGAAATCAATTTAATGTGTTACAAATTTATTCAAAAAGGGAATTGTATCTGTTTTCTTCAGGTTCATTGACTTGAACCATTGGTGCTAGCATCAGGTTACTATGCTTAGTTTTACTTTATGGTGTTAGGGAATTACTTGTGATCGTATGTAGCTTTTCCTGGTTTCAGAGTCCTCAAGAATGTATTTATAATTATCAGATGCCTAGATGTACTTCATAGAACTTGCAAGACACTTTGACATGAATCTCCTTGAAGAGTGACAAATTCCCAGGTATGTAATATAAATAGGAGCATCAGACTGAGGTGGGTGGGTACATATTTTTCACCAGTTGAAGTAAATTCTAAATTTGTGTATCTAGCCAACCTTCCAAGGCGCTTCCATGGAAACTTAACTGTGTCAAGAGAATAAACACTTCAGTGTAAGATTGTCTGGGAGTCCTCTGCATAATAACTTTCTTCTGCAATGAATGTTTACTAGTAATAGCTGATAGTGGAATTATAGCTCTGAAGTGAATTAGTGACACATGACTACTCAATTCAATTTATTGGCATAAAATAAGCTATAAACTTAATAGCTTGACTTTCATTCTTGGCTCTCTGGCTGTCATCTACATTACAAGTTTTGCTGATTTAGCTCAACTTTAACATACCTTTTATAGTTTAAATCCTAGTGTGGACACTCTAAAATTGAAACCTGGCTTACAGTGATTTAGCTGACCAACTTTAATTGGAAATAGCTGAGGAAATCTTGAGGCATATTGGAGGCATGACAAATATATTGCATTTATGAATTATTTTGCTGGTGATGAAACTCTTCTCTTTTTTTTTTTTAACAGGGGGGAAAAATGAACAAAACATAAGATTCAAACTTGCAGCTCCTGCTTTGATGAAAGTGTAGTAATGATTACTGACTTCATCCATGGTCATTTAATTGTTTTCTGTAATGTATCATGTCTCAAAACAGTAAGATAAGTAATGACTAGGACAGCACAACAATTGGTAGCTTCAGTTTGCATGGTTAAAGTTTTGACCCAGCTCATGTTTCAGTTCTGAAATGGAATAAAACTAGTGTCATTCATCTTTGAATAACATATTTGGGGAATGTTTTTATACTATATTCAACTAATAAAGAATTTTGTAGTACAATGTACCTGGCCATTTTTTGCATGCAAATGCAGCAGAGGATTTGAAGCATGAAGAGGAGGAAGTGGATGAAGCTGAAACATTAGGAGATACAATTCCTATCCCTACATGTCATTGCTAGATGACAGACCTTCTGAGGCATGAGTACTTCTGCTTATGCCTTGCATATCTGGGTCACAATCCAGTCAATAGGCTGCTTACACACTGAGACAAACAGGTCACTTGTGGTCTACAGATTGAAGCAGGAGTCATTTATCAGGTGGGGCAGACTCCACCAATTAATGACTTGGGAGATCCCACGTAGTCAACATATAAAACAATTTACAAAAAAGCATAATTTACCATAAGACAATAAAATTACACTTCTTTTCAGGGTAGAAAGACACACAAACCTTAGTTGCCTTCTGTGCAGTCAGTTTTCTCAAACTGAAGCCATCGTAATGTTTTCATAAGAGTGGTTTCGTACAGACTTGTACATAGTTAGATTACAGAAATAATTGAAGTAAAAAATAGAGAAATATTTGCGTAGTACTGTCAAACTTATTCCAATCACCAGCTGAAGACCTTCCTTCAATCCAGCTGTTCTTTGTAGTGGCAGGCAATAGAACAGTGTGTTACAAGCCTACTCTGTCACTGTATGAAGTAGTGGGTGGAGCATGTGATTGTATTCTGCCTTCCTTCATCTCAAAACTCATCTAAGGTCCTTGCAATTATACTACCCGATCTAGGTAATTCAGTGGACAATGATGCATTTGCAATTTAAGGCCCCAAGAATGTGGAGTGGGATATTGGAAATTCTTAATCTTAAGCAAAAAAGTGGCCAATAGCAGGTCTAGCTCCTAGGTGCAGGCCCTGTGTCTCTTTCCTCCCCAGCTCCCATTGGCTAATTCCCAGCCAGTAAGAGCCAGTGCTCAGGGTGTGGGCAATGCACAGAGCCCTGTGGGCCCCCCACCTAGGAGCCAGACCTGCTGCTGCCCACTTTCACACAGCAAGCCTCTCAGTATAACAACCCTCCCCCCTTATAAATTAAAAACACTTTTTATATTTAACACTATTATAAATGCTGGATGCAAAGCAGGCATTGGGAGTGGAGGCCAAGAGCTTGTGACCCCTATGTAATAACCTCGTGCCCCCCTGAGGTGTCACCATCCCCAGTTTGAGAACCCATGCTATAGAGCAAACACATCATTTAGATATGCAGTCTTGACTTAAAGGAATGGGGAATCCACCATATCCCTAGATAAATCGTTTCAATGACTAATTACCCCAGCTTATAAAAATTCATCTCAGATTTGTTGTGTGCAGTACCATTTTGGAGGACTTGGCTAGATTATATACTTTTTTTTTTCTATTGGGCATGTGTTCCACTTTTAACTTCTTATATGGTATTTGTTTGAGAAGAGGCTGTGCACCTGATGAATAAACTGTTAAAGATTGGATAGTGCATTTTCTTTTCAAGTCTACATTACATCCTAGGTTATATGCAAAAAGAAAAGATGAAATTATCTTGAATAGTACATAAAATGTTTTTTCATGTGGGGGGGAAAAAAAAGGACAATTAGTAGATGGAGACCACACTAGAAAAAGATCTAAACTGTTGAAAGCAGGGGAGTAGAATCACCAAACCATAACACTTGAGAATTAAGACCTAAATGCTCAAAAAATAGGTTTCATTTTTAAGTTTGTGGGCCCAAAATCCAGACCTCTTCCCTACAGCATTGCTGGGAGCTTTTTGGAGCAAGTCTTCAGCATGTTAGCTAGTGCTGTCATATTGTGCTATAGATTAGCTTTGCTGGCTATAATGAGAACTAAAAAGGGAGCTCTAGAAGATCTTGTAATGTTGGGTTTTACCAGCTTGGATTAGTGTTTTATAGCATAAGGTCCAATAATCATACAAGTAGTTGGAGTTGGATTTTGGAAAAAATGCCTTTAAATGTTAAACTCTAAGATACTAACTCAATAACAATGTATAGAGATTTAAAATGCAAGTATTTTAAAACATATATTCCTCTCCCTTTATTTACCTACCAAGACCAGAGTCTTCACCTTTTACAAATGTTTATTCTTTTACTGTGATGAAAGCATTTTTCCCCCCAGTTATTTGCCTCCTTTGAACCTTTTTTGTTCTCGCTATAGGACTTTATTGCTACTGCACTAACGTACAAATTTCTGTACACTAATGGAATACTTATAACCGGTGTTTCTCAGTAAGCTCCACTCTACTGCCAGCTAACTCTTAACTTTTCTGTAATTACTAATGTCAGATGCAGATGATGTGGCATGAGAAGGGTGTGCAGAGGAATAGTAATATTGCAGATTAAAGGCAAACCTTTGTTTCAGAGCATATTCCTTCTAGAGGGGATTGTAAGGATAAGAGTAGACAAATATTCCTTTCTAACCCAGAGAACTATTGTTCAGAGAATGTAGTCACCTACAACCTTGTTTATTGTTCCAAAATCTTAAGTGCAAATGCAGTATTGACTATCTATTCTTGGAACTAATGCACATGTAAGTTAAATGAAACTGGCTACTTTCTATACACACAGAAAATATCTGCCAACTGCAATACATTAGTTTACATGGAAACTAGAGTTTTTTAATTCACAGCTTTTAGAAATGGTTGACAAGTTATACAGTAAAATTGGTTTTACTTCAAAATAGTTTTAGATTTTAAACGTCAAAGAGAAATGTCAGTTATATAGTGAGCACTTTTAGTGTTCTGGAAAATTATTACTTTACAATAAACTAATAGAATTATGGTATAAATTAGAGGCCCTTCCATGTTACATCCATAAGGTTTATATTTTGTAAGAAGTGCTCTGCATAGATTGAGGTTTTGAATTGGTGATGTTTAAAAGTATAATACAAATTGATTGGAAAAAACAGATGACTTCAGTGAACATCCAATGTCTTAGACAATTTAATCTTGGAGTAATTGAGATTCATGGAAAGCTGCAAAAAATATTGTATTAAAAATAATGGAATGAACACACTTTGTTTTCTTTAATTTTTAGGTACATTTACACAAACAAAAGGAGTCAATCACTTATTCCTATTAAAAAAAAATTATAACCCCCACTGTGATTAACTAATTAGGATTAATTATATTTTTATGGAACCTTTAACATCTAGAGCAACAAAGTATTATATTACACAGATATTGTGACATCCAGGAATAAGTAGCTGGAGCAAATGCAATCAATGAGAGGAAACATAAAAACTGTTGGACTATGTAGGCTGTGATTCTGCAGGTAGATCCTTGCAGCTGTATAGTGCACCAGTGACTAGTTGGCATGCAAGTATCAGATTTTGAAAACAGCCAGTATGTATAGTTTGTGCACCTGAGGTCACTACTGCACCTCCCCCTCCCCCTCTTTCCTCTGCACTCTGCTTGTCTCCTGTTTTGAATCTGGTTGGTGATTGCAAATTTAGGTTAGCACTGACTGACTGCTCAAGCATCGGCTCCTGCTTTGAGTGGAATTGACTAAACATACAAGATTGCTGTGAAATTTATTTAGCAGGTGTTTCTCCAAGTCCAGTTTTAGGAGCTAATTGTCAATCAAATAGACATTGAGAAAATGATAGTTTAACATCCATTAATTTTTGTATGTGCTGGCAGCCCACTAATGAATGAAAGCCACTGTGTCATCTGGCCCACTTTCTTTAAATCAGTGGTTGTTACCACCAGTTTGAGAATCACTGATCAAAAACAAAAAGGGTAGATTAAGGAATTGCATTTCTTTAGCCTCATTAACAATGCTCTTAATCTTTAAAAAAGAACTTTTTAAAGGAGGTACCCTAAATGGTAGTTCATCCATGCTAGAGGTTTTTGCTTAATCTGGCAGTATACTTGATATTGCCTTTTGATCAACAAGAAAAATACAAAACTTTTGAGCAACTTATTCATCAGACTAATCAATCAGGCAACCATTTAGTTCTGAGCTCTGACAAATACTGTATTGGCAACTCAATTCCATAACGGGGCTCAACCTGCTGTTTTTATTAGAGATGGCCAGAGCTGAGACACTCAGATACAAACTTCCTGAAGTGTGAGCTGACTTAGGTATGGTGTCCTGGTTCAAGTCTGTCATTAGTGTTGATTTTTAATGACTGTATGAAAGTAATAAAATATTTTAAATAATATATTCAGTCAGTTTAGTTTTAAACTTTTATAACATACTGAGAATGATGGTCCAGTTCCTCCTACAGATGTATGAATGTGAATTGTCTTTTTTAGACCTGTAATATACAAAATTGTAGGCATGCTTCCAAAAGGAAAGTATACCCCTACATACTGCATGTTATGGCATTTCTGTGATTTAGTCATTACAATAATACTTAAATTAGTCCACCAGTTAGTTTTCTTCACATTGGATACTTTTTGAATTCTGGATAATGGATATAATAGGGAACTAGTTCCACAATATTTCAAATCATTCCACACATCTCAGTCCAGCCTCTGCTTCTTGGCTTCTCTTTCGCACTAAGGAAAAAGATACAAAGCCATGAGGCTTATGATTGTTGTTGACACTATGATCATTTGGGTATCTCAGTATCAGCATATAAACCCTCTTCAAAGCCAATGTTTTGGGGTGTTGTTGGCATCTTGATGTCAAGGGCCTATATTGACTGACTTTTGCTCCTGACCCTGATGTCAAGTTATTCTGGATGTTTTCAAAATCTGATGCCTGCACACTAGATGCTTTGGCATTGGGTGTGTCAGCAGTGAGCTTTTCTATGTTATTGCCGTGGCATCGGATATGTGAGCCTCAGGCATTGAGTAGTTGGGTCCAAGTGTTGACTACTAC